AGTCAAAATGATTATGTATATAATATGATTCTATACTGGGTAGTTACACGCATCCCCCTGCACGAGGTGCTTCGGCCACCGGGTCGGTATAAAGAGAGATGGGCAGTAGAGATCCAGTTTTCGCTTTACCAGCTGGAACAAAAGGATATCTAGTTTTTTACCTACTTCTCATGTGTAGCCTGTCCTTTACACATGGCACTTGATGACAGGATTGGGACTTCTGAGCCCGGAATTAGTCCAAAGGGCTAGCCAGAACTAGAACTCTCGATACCGCTTCCCCCAAACAGAAGCCTAAATAGAAGGATCCTCTTGCCCCAAACTATGGAGAAATTAAGACTTTAGAGGGGAGTGGAAGTTGATCCATTAGTGCCGGGATTTGCAGCAGCTGCTGAGTGAAAATCACTCTTACTTACTATATTTCGCGGGTAGGATTTAACAATCTATGTATCCCCTAGCGCCAGGACTTCCAAGAGCCAGATCCGGACTAAGGACTTCGATGAAACAGCCTTTTATCACTCTTTTACTTCCTCTTTCATCACATCAATATATCGTTAGAAAGAAAGGAAGCAAGGTGGTAAGGTAGAGAGTTAGAGGACGACTTATAGGATCTTGAATGAAAGGATGGTTCGAGAGTTCTAGTTAAAGAGTTAGAACAAGGTATAAGTGGTATCGAAACAAGAGAAGGGAGTCCGGATATCCTGGCATCAACAATCAATATAGGACTTACAAGGTAGGGTACAGGGGTGAGGCCTCGACGAGCAAAGTACAAGGAAGGCTGCTATCCAGAGTATCAATATTTTCTGAAAGGACCGGTTGAAGGGTTGGAGGATTGCTTTGTCCTATCATCCATGGAATGGAGAGGCCAGCATTAGGGACTCATAGCTGCTGTTATATCGGACTAAACTAAGTACCAAGGATCCTCAACAATGAGTACACAGGACAGCTCGTCGACAACAACAGCAGGGAAAGAAAGTAGCATCCTCAACAACAGGAACAGCGCAGAACTACTTTTCCTACTCATGAGTATGGCCGAGAGCTACTACCACTTCTCTATAATATATATTCTTTGTTATTGAATTTGAATATCGCTACCATTGGATGAGGAACAAAACAACTGAGCAGCTAACAAGTATCGCTATCCTATCCTTCATTCATCATATCGAATGTATTCTATATAGGCCCATTTCGATCAACTCGTTAGACATGTCTAAGATAGGGAGAAAGGAAAGGTAGCACATGAAAGGTGAACAGTTCAGCGATCGAGATTGTAAGGGCAGTTAATGAGCTAAGGACCTAGACACGCTTGGAGCAGTACCATAAACAGATGCCCATACTCTTTGACTGTCGAACGATCGAATGACAACAGGATGACATGACAGGTCCGCCAGCTACGGCCTTCTTTCCCTAGCTAGATGTTTCTATCAGGTCTACCTATCTTTACCATATCTATAAGGGCTATCTATCTGTCCATAAATACCTCTCTTTTCCGTATCAAAATCAAAACTAGAATATTATACCCCCATTTCTGTCACCAATATAGAGTACTGGACTCGAAAGTCTTACTCCTTCACCAGCCACTGATTTCAAATCCACTCTTTCATATGCAATTTCATAAGGCAGTTTCGGAAGTGCTTTTCCTTCTACTGTCTTCTGGCTAGAACACGAGTTCCAAGCGCTTCATCGGTCGAAACCAGGAATTGCTTGAGTTCCTTTACAAGAGACAAATAGCGAATTTACCTTTATCTAGGAACTAAACTAAGTCTAGAAATTGTCACCTTTATTGATCTAGTGTTAGTCTACAGTGTACCGCAGTTAGAGTTGTGTAGCCTCAGTCTTTCCGAATCCGAATCATATATATATGTTCATTTCCTCTGGTTTGATTCCACAACCCGGATAAGCCGCACCCCTGGAGGTGCATCTACTCAGCAACTCTGCTTTCCCACGCTTCCGAACCTGACAGGCCCAGCTCCAGACCTAGACTCCGCAACCCGGCTCTGGTTTCATTTCCCAATCTGAAAAGGTAAGACAGAACCTGGTAAGTTGGATCCCTTTCTCAGCCCCTGTCAGAATCGACCCCTCGAACACATATATGATATGGAAAAGAGCCGTTTCGAAGGCCTCGCTTGTGATCGTACCTCACGGAATTCACTAGACAAGCACTCGCGGGAAAGGGACTTCTCTGAAACAACCCCAGCTTTTGGAACTCTTTCCTCGTTTGATTGGAACCGCTGAGCTCCTTTCATTTCAACCCTGCTTTTGGAATACATCTATCGATAGCCTCTGCTTTCCAACTCAAGGAGCTAGCGGTACTAGTTGATCTATCAGTAACGAATTAAGATGATGGGGCGACCCTTACTGTTAGGGCTAATTCCTATGGTATCATTCAGTGCCTGGTAATATCCTTAAGGATAACCAAGGGCCGCAGATGCTGATTTTTCTGATTCTATTAAAGTA